GCGTCTGCTTTCAGTGCTCGATCAACGTTCAGGAGTACGCGTCCTGTTTCTGGTCCGACGTACGAAATATGAATTTTATCACGAAATGAGCACTCTTCATTCGCTGTTATCTCAAGTGCATGTATCATTGGCAGTGCCGTTTTCTAGATCTCGCCTTTTCCACCGGTCAGATGACGTTTCACAGCTGTGACGGGTCCAGAGAAATTCTCTTGCCATCTTGCTCCACAAAGATAGCGTCTCTATTAAAGAGTGGCCGACAGCCGGAGAAAGACATGGCTATCTGGCTCGTTTCACTGGAAACTTCGTTTGGAAAGCACAGTGGGCATAGATACTCGAATTCCAGACCGAATGCGATTTAAACTCCTGGGTAACCCACTTACCAGAGAAGTGTGACCACGTTTCGGAACTCTCCGCGACAAGACGAATCGATCTCGGCGATCCATTGAGATCTGAATACCGAGAGTGGGGGGGAAAAAACGGAGAAACATGTCGGAGAGGACATTTCACTCGCCTTCGAAACACGGATGCGACAAAAAACGTCGCCGAGGCACGAGCAACAAGAATCTCCGAGGATTTCGCTGCTAAATCAGCGGCGAAATTCCTCCGCTAAAGAGAAGGCGGTTCATTTCTCCTGGCACGTGGAAAAAATTCTGCTAATTAGGCGGTCCTTTTATTGGATTTTTAATATTCTTTTTTTTTTTTAATTTCTTTTAAGTGGAACAGTCAATGATCGCTCGACCTGGAGAAAAATTCAGCCGTAGCGAGTCTCGTTTTATCGCGTTTACCTTAAATCGTAGCGATTTTTAATTTATGCTAATTAAATATCAGATGAGCTCTTCTGTAGCGTCCACGCGTCAGTTAAATCTGTGTTAATCGGTTTACCTGGATTTAGTGAATTTATCGCAAGATTTATTTACGTGTTCGCGGTAAATCGTACATTAAACCGTAGCGAGTTTTAATGTAAGCAAATTAAAAATCGAATCAAGTCATTCTGTAATGTCCGGGCGTCAGTTAAATTAATGTAGATCGGTTTGCATGAAGTTATGGAATTCATTGCAACTATTTATCACCACGTGTGCAGCCGTTGTTGCCGGTAGTGAATTTCCTCCACATTTTCTGCGCGCTGCAGGAAGATAAACTGACCGCTTCCGTGGAAGGAAGGACAAGGACTCGAGCGTCTCGACGCCGACTACAAGGACGGAAAAGTAGAGAGTCGGGTCGACGTGCCAGGATCGACCTCGACTCTGGGCGAGGTCGAGCCTTTTCTCGAGACGGGCTATTGGCCGAGATCGGGACATCCTTTTTCTCCTTTCGGACGCGATCGACTCGGCTTGAAAGTCTCTCCTTGGATATGACGAATGTCCAGGAAGCGGAAAGTGACTCCTTACGAATGTGGGCGCTCCTTTCCTTTAAAATCCACCCCCCCACCACGTATATGGAAATCCCCTTATCAACTTCCTAATTTACAAAAGTCACAAGTAAAACCGTAAATTTGATATTAATCACTTAATTAAATCCGTACCAATCAGGACTTTCGTCTTATTAACGATCCCTAATCTGTATTTATATATAGATTAAGACCCACCCTCGGGGATAATTCCGCGTGAACATTTTATGGAAATAAATAATTTTAATGACGATAAAATATTGGTAAACCGAAATTGGAGCTCGTAGGAAGATGCTTTGAAGTTTGGTTCATAAAATTCCAGACCTGCTGGCATTTCAAGGTTGACTAGACCTTCTGTGGGCGAAACTTGCCGATGATATGACCATCGTCACGTACAACCTTCTGGGTGTTGTTCACTCGAAGTGACTGTCCAGTTGTGGGAAATTGGAAGCTTCGTCTCAAGGGACCATTCCGCGACTGAGATGTAATCTTGGGTTTCGGTACAGGGCTGAGGTCGCCAAGGAATGGTCAACGAATCCCGTTTACGCCTCCTGCGAGGAAGGTCGAGCGAGGTCTCAGAAATGATACGACTTTCGGTTTCTTTGGACATCCGGATCTTCTGGTTGGTGGAAGTGACGTCTTAATGGTCAGTGCTGCTCGAATAACCCTTACAACTGTTTATTGAGACATTAATGCGCATCTTTAATTACGGAACTTTCCACGAGACTCCAATCTCGTCACTTTCCATCGCAATTGGACGGTCCGTTTCCTCGAGAAATCGTTAATGATTAATTAATACCAAGCAAAGCCGATGGACTCGTGTTCTCCTTAACCCTCAATATACGCCATCAAGAAATCCATATTCCATAGCAACAAAAATTATTAAGAAGTGACGTTATACGGAAATAAATAGTTTGATGCTGAATTTGTAGTACCAATAAAGGGTTAACACCCAATAAATGAGTAATACTTGGGAACTGCGTACTAACCTCTCTTACACGAGTCCCCGTAATAATTCATATTTTTCATTGTTATGTGCGATGTTATCTTTGGTTAACAATCGAATCAATGACTTTTCTGCTTTCTCGGAAACTTCGCAAGACAGGACATCCGCCGAATTTGTGGGCGAACGGAAATCCGGCCATTTTGAATGTACTTGTGTGCCGACCTGAATGGGTAAATCGTAAAGAGGTTTATCAAAGATAAACTGCGAGATGGGCGACGGCATCCTCGTTTGTTCTCGAGGAAGGGTGCGCCGATCGAAGGCGAGAGCGATCCTTCAAAGTGTCAATCTTGACACTCGGACTCGCCTTTGTCGGCTAACGAATGACAATTGACACTTGCTCCGTACATCGGGAAACGCCAGGCGACACGATAAACGAGAGCTGGCCGATTCTCGCCGAAAGTGGTTGACCTCGAAAAATCGACGGAGAAAATCGAAGTGTACCACTTAAGGGGCTCGGAGATTCCCTTTCGATCCCTGGGCATCGATTGGCGCCGATCGGCATCGATCCTGGGAACGAGGCCCCCCCCTCTCTCCCTCCCCCTTCTCCTTCTTTCCCACGTTTGGCCTTTTTCGCCGGAGAAACCAAAGCGTCGAATATCGACTGCCAATTCGTCCCTGGGATCGGGTAAACTGGTTTCGGCGAAACGCGTCGATAGTCGCCATTTTGGTTTCTGAAAGCCATACCGGGCCGACATTCCGACTAGCCTTAACGTTTTTTTCTTCATTACCTGAAAGAGGGGAACGCTCCGTACTTCCTACAAGATCAGTTTCTGAAGCTTCGAGTTCCCACTTTAACGGCTTTGTTTTTTTTTTTTAGAAAAAATCTTACCGTTCTAGGAGGAAGTCTTTGTCTTAAGGTCTTACGTAAGGGTCGTTCTATATATACATATAAAAATTTGAGGGGTTCCGGGAGGAAGTCTTTGCCACAAATTTATTCTATCTCAAGGTTCATCTGTCTCAGCAGACTCAAGTATAAAAATGGCGGTCGGTTCATACTTCGCTCCCAAGACTTCCCACGATTCAATTTTCTGGAATTTCAAATTCCTCCTTCAGCAATTTTTTTTTTCACCCAGATAAAACTTGAAAATTTTGATATTCCGGGAGGAAGTCTTTGTCTGGAATTTATTCTATCTTAAGGTTCGTTATTCTCAGCCGTTCCTCTCATGGAAAATGGCGATCGGTTCTTGCTCCTCCGAAATAAAGAACAGGATTTCGCTGGAGAGTCGCGACTTTCTTCAAGAGGTCCAGCGGTGGATCCGGTTGGGGAACTCGACCATTTAATATCCCTGACTCATGTCTTCGTAAAATTATATTTCGGGAATTATCCCCAGTGGAGCTCGATGGGATTTCTCATCTCGGATGCACTCATACCAGAAGTATGATAAATCGCTGCACTCCGGACATCGGGTCCCGTTAAAGTCGACCCGGTGGACCAAATTGCGGTAGTCAGGGGTCCGATAACGCACGTAAAGTTTGGATAACCTCGAAAAAGGAGGAGTTTCCATATCCACATCGAAGTTTACCTGGATAGACTTGGGGAGATCATATCGACACATCCGATCATGTAAAAGTCGACCGGATGGTTCACGTAATTGCGCATGGGGAGACCAGGTGATGGTTTCTGGAGCGATTTACGTGATGGTCCCCACGTCCACTCGAGATGGTCCGCTCTTCAAGGTCTGCACTGCAGGTCATTGAGAAACGGACCGAAGTGGAAACGGTCCAGCGACCTTGTGCTGAATATTCCCGCCGGGTTTCGGTGGAGGGTTGTGTAACGAAGCGCGTTTCACGTGCGCGGCGATAAACGTTGGGTTACGTTAAGGCAGGTAGGTGACCATGCAAGGCTGCGCGGTGAGTGTACTTTCAACCCCGGTCGGCGCACCTTGAGCGTACGCGCTTTACCCCAGAAAATTTCAGATTGCGGCCGCTAGAAGCGAGAAAAATCGAGGAATTACCGATCGGAAGGTTGCTAGTGCATCAAGGAATGGCGCTCTGGTCCCGTGGTCTCGATCGAGACTTGCGATACGCGATAAGAAAGCCGATACGTGTGGAATATTTTCCCTGGGTTTCGGTAGCAAGTTGGGTAAGCGCGTTTCACGTGCGCAATAGTAAACGTTTTGTTACGTTAAGGGAGCTAGACGACCGTGCACGACGCGACAAGTGCACCTTAAGCCGCGGCCGAGAGTAGCTCGAGCTTTCTCGACATTCCCCACGAGATTCCAGATTGCGGCCGTTAGGCGCGACAAAAATGGGCGAGCGAGTGATCGGAAGTTTCGTCGTGCAACAGGGAATGTTGCTCTGGTCTTGTCTGATCGAAACATTGCTCTAAATCAGCAACAGTGACTAAGAAAGTCGACCGGCGTCGCGAGGGTATCCGAAATGTAGTCGTCTAACTGTTCACCCCGAAAATTCGGGACGATTTCCTCCGAGGAAGAGACGAACCACTCGGCGAAAAGGCAAAGGAAAAGCTGCGGAGAGTCGGAAAGTGCAATCCACAAGTACCACGTGCAAAGAGAAACCAAGCAACGACGAAACTCGCGATTATGTAGATCGAGGGATCCCGCCGACCTGGTCGGGCCCCGCAGTTTCACCGAAGATGTAGCTTACCTTTTGCAGCCAACCCGTCCGCCGCTCAACTGCACTGGCACTTCACTCGGCAGCAGTTGGCGAGGACCCCGAAAGTCGAAGACCGGTCCCTTCCCGGCGAACTTCCCCCGAACTTCCGAACTTCTCTTCACCGGTCACCGAGTCCGCGTCTGCGCACTGCACGCAGGGTCCTTCAGTTCCTCCGGAATATCCGACTATCGAAAAGGATCAACTGTCACGAGTGCTCGTCAAACTTCGGATCTTCGGTCTCGAGATGCAGAACTCCACGTCCAATACCCAACCCTCCACCCTGGACTGCGAAACCTGGGCCTCTTCAAGGTATCCTATCGAAGGGTGGACTGGGAGGCGAGGTGGACGACGACCCGATCTGCGAGCGATTGATCGATGGACCGATCGGTGAGGCTGCCGGTGCGGTCGGCGGTGAGGTCGGCGGTGCGGTCGGCGGTACTCTCGGAGGTCTGCTCGACGGGGGATGCGACCGGTCGCACATCGGTCCACCGAGCGATGCTGCGGGAATAGTCCGCGGCGCCGCGTGCTCGCGGCTTAAGTATTGCCTATCCAAGTGGGGTCCGCCGCCGGGCCCAGAGTGGGAGTCCCCGGGTGAGTCGGGCCCACCTCGATCGGCAGATCGGCGCGAGCGGCCCAAGAGTCAAGGTCTCGGCCAGACCGCCGCTCGAGTCGACCGCCCTGCTCCTTTTTTCCCCTCCTTTTTCCTCCTCCCCTCGCCATCTTTTTCTCCGTCCAGGGGCGGATTTTCGTCATCGCGAGTCGGGCCCCTCGCCGCTACGGCCTTGCCCCGTCGGACCCTAACCTAACCTAACCTGGGCCCTTTGCATTATCCTTTATCCAATCGATTATCGAATTTTCTCCCCAACAATTCCACTTCCTAGAATCTTTTCTTTCCCACTCCACCCCCACTCCCGGCTGCACTTTCGCTCCTCCGTTTCCTTCGCGGTTTTTTCTTTGACATCCTTTTTTCAAGTTTTGCGTCGGAGGTCGACCTTGCGTTTTTTAATTTCCATGACGGCGGGGTGAGTTCACCTTTTGATACCGATTTAATACCGCATTGAGAATAATGCTTCGTTGGACCGGAGGAATTTTTCTTTGGATGCTACCAAAGAAATACTTTGGTAATTCAACGAATAATTATTTTGTTAGATTAAACAGGAATATATCGGATGCTACGTTTCTGCGGAATGAGCGATAATTCATTTAAGTTTATTAGGGTCAAATCGTTATCCTTTGAAGTAAATAAATATTTCTTTGGTTCAATGAGCTTTCTTTTCTTACAATTAGTGTGGTAACGAAGGTAGCGTTTTTAACCGTAGGGAAGTTAAAGGGATCCTAGGTATTATTTGTTGCTGCCAATTCTGCTCTTTCTGTTAGTATCGATCTGTACTCCTATCGTTACTCATTCTTTATTTTCTCACCATTGTTTCAGGATCGATATCGGTATCTGATTGCTCTCGATAGAATTTGTCACGCACTCGGGTAGAATGAAATACTGTTAGTGGTTCATTCATTGGAACGATAGTATCAAGAAGTTCATTCATGATTCCATTCTGTCAATTGATTGTCAATGCATTAAGAATATCTCGTTTTTTTTTATTGCACTAAAAATGTGCACTCTGCATCATATTATCCGGTAAAATGTTGATTTTTCATGTATAGCTCGAAACGATGCGATTAAAAATTTTTTATTTTATAGATTTTATGAGCATCGTTAATCCTTTCTTGGCATTTACATCACGACGTCAACCCACGTTTATCTTAATTTAATCAGAGCTCATAATGACTGGCACTAATTTCGAGAAACCTTGGCGAGGTCTGCCTTAGAATTTGCCATGTCACTGTATAATACGTTCCGATCAATTTCTAGTGAATGTGATCTTTACCGATCCCCCTCGTCCATTACACTCCCCGATGGATCAAAGATCGACGGAGAAGGTGATTTCACCGAGAGCTCGCGAAGGACGAAACTTTCAGAACCTATCGGAACTCTATGCTCGATCGCGAATTCGTGGGAAAAGGAAACAACAAGGTAAAAAATCTTACGTCTGATTGGAGACGTCAAAGGTTCCGGACCTGTTAGATGGCGTAATCGTAACTGGTTCCGGAGAAAACCTCACATCACTGGTTCACGTATAACTCCGTGAAACGGCGGGAATATTTTTAAGGAGCCCCAGAAATATTCCCTTCCTGTGAATCATTTACGCTAGAAATTAATTACAGAATTAATTATGATCTATGAAACTTTAGTAGAGAATTTGTTTGAACGTTAACGCGTTTAAGCGCTTACACGTGTACTTGGCGCGGAACTCTACCAAGTCTCATAAGGCGACTAAAATTTATAAGACATTTATTATAAGATATTTCCTTCCTATGCATTACTTCAACTCTACCCTAATCCCTGTTAATTGCGATCGTTATAATTAAACTGAGAATTTTTATAATCCTTCGGAATTTTTTGATGAAATTATATGTATTTAGGTGTCATGGGATTTTCGGAGTAATTGCAGGGCAGAAGTTTTTTGAACTCTTGTCGCGCACATTCATTATTCTTGACTCGGTACATGTGTAATGCATTTGTTTAACCGAGGTACCTTTCTTTGGAGTCGTTGTTCCTCCTCTTTGACTCTGTCGCGAAGCGAAAAGCGAGTCATTACTCCGTCGCAGGTGATTTCAGGAAGAGGCCATCGATTAAGCACGGAACGACCGTAACTCTCATTGCACGTACCGCTTGTACTTGTCTGTACTTACGTGCTTGGGTTCACATACGCATGTCTCGAAACGCACTGATCGGTGCTACGAGATTAAGTAAATTGTTTCTGTCGAATATAGGCGACATGATCATTACGCCGTATGTCCATCGGAATGATTATCGCGTAACCATCATTCGCCGATCTACGTCATCGATAATGAACTTCCTGCGATCGCTCATCGATAAACCTTGAGACGAGAAGGGGATCAAAAGAAATATATTCTCGAGGCTTCGAGAAGATATTTCATCCGCGATTACCTCTCGCTTTTTCGGCGGTTATGTAACTGGCTCCGAATTTGCGAGTCTCGTTTTTTTCAGAACCGGCCGAGGATGGTCGATGACCGGACTTCGAAGTTCATTCTTCAGGGCTGATGGGGAATTTCCTTGTTCATCTCACTCGCGAATGTCAGGAATATCGTATTCCATTCTACAGTAATTAATTTTGGGACTCGAGTACATGGACAGTTTTTAAAAATACCTGAAAATGTTTGATAAGAGATTTCGGAGGGGAGGCTGCGAGTTTTCGAGCTCCCGATTTTGGATTTATGCACGGTGGCATTTCATTGATATCGTCATAGGAGTGATTTGTAGAACGAGTGTTCTCCACGTATCGGAAAATTCCTCCTCTCGGTTCCCACCATTCGTTTTCCGCATAACAACGAACAAGAAACGACGATTGTAAATATTTCCCACCGGAGTTCCTTAACGTTTCCATGAATTGTGTAATGTTCTCCAGTAATCGAGTCATTTTTTAATCACTTCAGCATATGTTAACACATTTCTAAGATCCTTACCTAAATACATAAGGTGTTATGAAAGTGTCACATGTGCACATCAGAAGAGTTAAAACATTTATGAAACTTTTCTCCAAAATAAGTGCATCGAATAATCTGAAACTTTAGCACGTGTTTACTGAGGTCTTAATGAAGGTTTTGAATCTTGCGAAATTTAATTTTTTTTCAAAAATAATATATTTATCCCGGTGCAAGAACCAAAAGCACATCACCAAGCTCACTGTGTAACACCGAAATAACATGATATATAACATGTTACCAATACATTATATATATGTTATTCGTTTCATAACATTATATAGCTGCGGAGGAAATAGTAATACAAGTCTTACTTACATGTTACATGAATGTTACATTACATGTTACAAATGTTATATAACGGGTATATTATTGTTACGTGACAGTGTTTTGTGGGTATAGGGGGGTTCAGTGAAAATTGCTTACTATTCGGTCCATCAAGGATCGATAAATTTTCTGATTACGTTTCGATCGGCTCTGGATATTTTCCGCGGAATCTCGCCGGCGACAATTCGCCGAAGCGGGATCAATTCTCGCGAGCGGAGCTCCGCTTTTTCCGCGGATTTCTTTTATCCACAGATCAAGTGAGTCCGCCCAAAGGTCGTTAATCCTCGGCATCGACCTCAGGAAGATTTTTACGACGTCACCACGACGTCAAGATCGGCTTCCTCGAACGTAGGGGACGTCCACGAGGTGATCTCCGATGGCACCCGAGTTCTGGAGTGCACGCATCGAGAGGCTCCGATTTTTCTCCCATCTTTTTTCCCATCCGGGTTCCAGAAACGAGCCGATAATTGGCGCATCTCGTAAACGAGGAGGATTCACCTGCGCACTTGATACCTACGATTTGCTTTGTTTTTATCCAATGGAGGCGCAAAAGGACGTCGCGCTTCGAAGGCCTCCTCGCTGGAGAACGCAAATCTCGGGGGCTTCCTTCAGGGATTTAGCCTTCGTTTCTCTTTGATTCGCGTTTCGGGCGAGAACCGGTTTAGGGTTCGTTTCCAACTTTATTTTTAATGCTGACCATCGGAGGAGAAACGACCCGAGATATTCGACTTTCCGCGTGGCACGACCGAACGCCGTGGAAGGCCGAACTCTTTCGTCCTCCTTCTTCCTTCTTCTCGGTCCCTCGGGGGACTCTTTCGCGACTTCCGCCTGATAAAAAATTCACGCAGACTCACGATTTCGCCGGGCCGAGCAGAATGAGAGAGAAAATGACACAAAAATATATATATAATATACAGAAAATAAATGACATCCGGGAGAATGTATAGGAGATAAGAGAGTACGTGGGCGTGTGCAGAAATGGTATATAGAAAATAAGGAAAATGGCACGCGGAAATAATGTGCAGCGTATGAATTGATAATGAAAAATTAAATCTAGGGAATAGGATGCACCTATCTAAACAAAAACAATTTATTCAGGATATCTATAAGTGTTTTTTTTTTCTTCGGGGAGTTTTTGTATTAATTTCTTATTAAGAAATGGAAAGCTTTGAGGCAAATTTTCTCTGGAAATCCGATTGCTTAAGCACCGACTTTCATGTCTAAGAAATCGTAATTGATGAGGGCCTTGGACGATCTTGCGCGCGTGCGAAACAGAATTGCGGGTACCATTGACTTTACGCGAGCGTGTGGATGCGATTCTTGGCAGGAAGTATGGATAATACTAATTAGCTACCTCGTTGCAAGGTGAGTACCTGTCGGGTGGGTACGGATATTCTGTGATTTATGGAATCACATCAATATTCCGAGGCACTCGGCTTGGCGGAATGACTGAAATCTTAATCTTCAAGACGAGCAATTTGTACATTTGGGTGTCTTTTTCGTAAAGATATAAATATGTAATAATTTTATATTATTGCGAATTAATCAAAACGCCTATCCTTTGACAAATGATTTTTTTTTCTCTCCACAGAACAATGTGATAAACGTACTTCGATTAAATTGTGGCAGG